GAGTACGACCAGGTCATCACATGTGGCCCGTTTAATGCCCCGACTCTCGACCTCAAGATGGACGTTCGACCGGAACCTACTTAGCGCCATCAAAAAGGCTGGGGTCCATGGGGATATTGGCGATGAGACACGCCGGAGACTGTTGGTAAAGCGTTCACACTAGGCCGTCTCATTAATGACCATCTGTTAGTGGAAGATGTTCAGGTTCAAACCCCTCTCGGCAGTGGTGATCATGGCGTGGCCGTGTTTCACCCGATAATCAGTGAAAAACTATCAACGGAGGGATTTCACCATTGTCTTCGCCACAGAAACACAAACTACGAAGCATCGGACGAATACCTGCTGACAGAATCATCCTCCAAACCTGGAGTATCTCATCAACTGGCCTTCAATGGAAACTGGTGAGGAACATCATTGAGAGTGTTATCTCTGAAAACCTCAGATTGGTCACAGGAAAAAGAAAAAGCGAATCCCATTAGTGAGATGGGGCGTAGAACACTCCTTGAAAGCTGGGGGCAAACCGTCGAACAAACGGAGGATCTCCTGAAAGAGTCGGACCACAGAACATTTTTGGTTCAAAAAGGAATCGGTGCTGGGGCGAAATGAGGGGGGGAGGAGTTCTTTCCGGAAAAGCCTTGCCAAAAGCCCACGGCAAACCTTAACAACCCATTTTGTTCCGTGACCAAGAGATCTACTGGCCAGAGAGCTTGCTATATGAAAGGCCGGGATAGAGAGGACCTCTTTGGACTGGAGGCTGCCGAAGCCTTCAGTGCCGTCCTCAATACAAAAATCCACTATCCAACCAAATTTGCCGACCGCCTGGGCAACCTTCAGCTTCACTCGACGTAGAATAGTCGCGCAGAATAAACGTCGATCTGTCATAGTCCTGGAGAAGCTATCGAAGCTCGGCGCAAGAAAGTCAACGAGATGCGATGACATTGGGCCACCTGTGTTGAAAGGTGTTTGGATGCGCTCCACATTCTGCTCTGTAATCTGCTTCCAAGAGGGCGAAAACTCGCCGTTCTTTCCTCGATCTGAAAATGGGGAGGCATGTAATAGCTGGAATGGAATCGACCCATGGCACTTCTAGTAGTGCTGGTGATGGTAATGGATAACCTGGTAAACGATGAATTTGGGGATCACATGGACGTACGTGGGCAGTAAATGGTATTCAATAAAGTTCTCAGAGGGTAGGTTTTTCGTCGCAAACCCTCTGGCAAGCCGTGACAACTGAGGGGTATGCTGTGACCTCCAAGAGCCTGTTCATATGATTTCCGTGGATTTCGCCGGGGCCTTTAACACAGTCACGCGCGTCGGTTTCATGCACCAAAAGGAAAAGTCGGTTATCAAGTAAGTTTAAGTCGGTACAAACTCACCTAGATGTATCATGGTCAATCTACTGCTGCGTATTTTTGTGCTCCTGTTACAAATTTCGCCTGCTACTCGCTTTTGTTATTCACTTTTCAGACTTACCTAACCAGTCCTGCATTCGAATGGAATCCTACAAATCGCATTCGTCAGCGGGAAATATTGCCATCAAAACCTGATGACGAACGCGCACACTTCAAGGTCATGACTGTGATGCGGCCTCACCTTCAAGAATATTGGATGATTCAAACGATGACCGGATAATCTTCAAATTCGAACTGAGCCTGCTTCAACATGCCTCCCATATGCCATAAATCACAGCATCTAATGTATAGCATAACATTGTACATAATAGTCACCTCTCATTACCAAAGTGATCACACCTGTAAAATGGTTTGCATTCATTTAACCTTTGTTGTATGAAATATATTATTATTATTTTGCTCTCCTAGCTGTGAGACTATCTCGATGCGGAGGAAGTCTTCGCAACGGTCAGCAGAGTTTGCTCGGCTTGGGGAACACCATCATCTGGTGTATCAACAGGAGTTATCCTGGGTGTGCTGCCATTCCTTTATCTTGGTGGTGATCTCTCAGTGAGTCTCAGCTTCTCGATTTCACTCTATGCTGGCAATGCTGAGTTGTGGGTAGCTGTGACATCCGAAACAGATTCAAGCGCAGTACAAAATGATCTAACATTGGTTGCGGAGTGGGTAAATAAAAGCGGACCAGCGTTTTACGCGGATAAATGTGGAACCATGTCTCTCCACCCTTTCAACCCTCAGAAAGTGTCTTACTGTCTCCATAGAGAGCAACTTTCTTACACCACCACGGAGGGAGACGCGGAGACTAGTAATGAAAACTAAGCTAGGCGCCATCTCTAACTACCCGGGAGATCCCCACAGAACATACACAGTAAGGCACTTCATGCGCAGATAACTGGGCGATATCACTCTCGAATTCTCCCTGAAGCTCCACAATACATACGTTTGACCCCACCTAGAGGTCGGTAACGTCGTTGCACCACCATCCCTGAAAAGAGACGTAAACCTCGGGGAGAAAGTCCAGAGGCGAACGTAAAAGGCTACGGTGGTATTGAGGCGAACGCCTCACGAGGACAGAGTGGAGGACCTGAGGCTTTTCTCCTTCAGTTACCGTAGGTTGCTCGGCGACTTGATAATGGCTTGTAAATGCAAATTAATCTAAGTCACCGAAACAGTGGGATCCTACCGAATGGCCACTGTGAAATCCTCTCAACAACCCCGGGAGATTCGCTCATCAAAGGACGAAAACGCGTATGCGTTCACACTTTTTCTCTCCGTGAGTTCGGGAGCGCTGGGGCGCATTACTTGCTGAGATGGCCACTGCTGCGTCTTTTGACAACTTCAAGAAGAGATTGAAGAGGTATGCAGCAACGTACAGGTTGCGCTTGTGCAGCTGGGATGCGGAGTAAGTCAATAAAACCTGCTAACTCTGCACAGCCCAGCACAGTAAACCTCATACTGAGTCCCTTTTATCACTACTATCATCGAGAACTCGACCTGGTCATATATCTCTTCGTTACGCGTCTTAACTTTATTAACTACACCCCCACCAATAACATCATCATTTCTGTATCCATGATCCATCCTATAACCTTATCTGATCCCTTCTCTTTCTAATGACTGTATGATCTCACCCTGTTTATGACACTTCTCTTTACCACTGTCTCGTTCGTGAATCCACCAAGGACCTTTCGTTACACTCACTTTCACTTTGTTTTTTCTTACTTCTCCAATTTTTCCGCCCGACATCACTTCACTCTTCTATCTTCCTTTTATAATCAGTTCAAACGACTTTCTGGTTACACAACACTTGAGAAATACATCACAGTCCTTGGACAAATAGTACAATGCCCCAAAAAGCAGACCGAAATAACCACAGCTACAGCACCTGAGTGGTTAGATGTGCCGCAGCGAAATTCACCATAGACTTGAAACCGAACTTCGAAACCTGGAAGAGCCATTTAGGAAATGCATTGGCTTACATTTTCTGGTGAACGGATGCTAGACATTTGGTATGTGTTGGACGCTTGGACATTCTGAAGGTCGTTCAGTTTTCTTGATAAGTGGAAAAGGCGGTAATATGAGGGTGAAGTGGAACCCCGAAAACATGTAATAAATACAGTAGCTTATACATTTGAGGATGGTCTTGTCTATTCCTAATTCCGACCAGATTTGAATACTGTTGATTTTTCTTCTCTTCAATTGGTCTGATATTCACACCTTGGTTCGCCTGCTTTCTCCGGAAATTTCGTAGTGAAACGATCGGTTGTGAAACATTTCAGGGGTTTACGGTTTTCATGAAGTTTTTGTCAATCTTATCCCACACTCCCAGTCAAAACCTACTGCGGAAGTAAGGAGGGTGAATGGCATTACCATTACTAGCGAGGCGTAAGTACTGAGAGTTGTGTCCCAAAATTTACCTGAACTGCTAAAATAATGCGGATAGTGCTAAAGTTAGGCGGGGATTGTGCGTGAATAAACCTATATTCACTCATGCGCGCTTAAAATATTCCGCTAGGGCGTAAATTATGCAGGTAGTCCCTGAAAATCCGCTTAAGTGTCGCACTTCAGCATTGCTAATCAATGCATTGACCCGCATTAGCACACATTATTTCAGCATTCGTATTCGACTGAGCTATCATACTTTGAAACAGAGTGTATGGTAGGAAAGCATCAATCGAATTATCTTAACATGATTGAGACCATAAGATAACATATATCAGATAGTCATAGTAAGTTTTATGTGTGGGGACAAATGATAAGACGTATTTTCTCAGTTGTGAGAAAAGATCCTGTTTGAAGAGAGGATAGCGTTTGCTAGAAACAGATAACTGAGATGGTAAGTCAGGTAGTTTGAAAAGTCACTTATTTATCAGTTCGGAATTGCATCAAAGAGGTTCGCAAGTATGTGTTTTGTGTCATAATGCTGCCAATTGACCGAGATCGCGTGACACTTTTTTCTTGCTGGAGATTCTTCCTGTCAGAAGTGTGTGAAAGGTGCTGCTACAAATGTATAACTCTGTCGAAAGCCTTGTGTTTTTCCTTGTCTTGAATAAGCTCGACACGTTTTCGTTCAGTATCACGTCACATCAATTGTAGTGTGTCATTGTAGGACTCATTCAGACTTCATCAAGTGACGTACACTTGTTGCGATCACATCTGTGAATTGTGTATCCAACTTAAGGTGCTTTAGGGATTTACCTCAAACACAAAACGATATTCAATGCACCTACTGTTTGAACGACAGAGTTCAGTCTGACTAATATGATCATCAGAACTCATGAACATCCAACCGAATAGTTAAGAGGTCAACTAACAGCGGTCAGAATGCATGGTTCACATTTCAAATGGAGATTGCTTTATCTAATTCGGTAACAGGTTGACGTGTTCAAACATTGTGAAGGAATGAACCATAAATGATGGTGTCACAGTTTGTCAAGATGACCACAAATAAGATACTTTGCCAATCCTGTGCATTACCTTTGTAGGAGTCCGACAACTGAAGCACAAAACTGTACAAAGGAGAAAACACCAAGTTACTTCAAAAACTCATTAAATTTTATTTGTTAGTTGGTTCTAGCGTAATAGTTTTCAAGCCTGAACAGCATCAGCTATCCTTATTTCTTTCTCACCGAAATCAAAGACGGTATAGAATCTCCCCATGAAAACATCACCAAGAATCCACTTACCATCTGGTAAATTGTCATCACCACTGAAGGGTGACAGGCAATTTGAAAACAACCATCCGGAGTCCTACAAATCATTAACAAAATATCAAAAGATTTCTAAATGGTTGACTCTCACAAACTGTGGCAATAAACAAGCAGAAGTTTGGCTCAATAAAACATAGAAAGTGAAGCATCCATTTTAACCATCTGTGGCGAGATATAATTACTCCAAATCAGTAGCCCAAGGTTTGATGACATTCACCACCGATAGCCACCTCCATGATTTCAGCGCACTTATTAATCTGAAGACACACAATCAAACGCCGATGCTGTTTAGCACGTTGTCGTAGTTCGTAGCGCGATACTCCAGGTTAATGGCTAACACATCACGGTATTTAAGTGTAGTTTGTCAAATACATGAATTAAACGTGGTCACCCCCATTATGTTCACTCCCTCAGCCTTATACTCGTGGCTATCTGACAAGTACGATGAATTATTGGCCTATCTATTCATTTTTCAAGATCGTGTGCGATCTGTCCCAAATATCTATCACTCATGATCATACGCGTGCTTCTTGAGTGTTGATGTGTTTTACCGAACCCCCTTTCTTCTCAGAAATAACCAGATTTACTACCAAACCATCTGAGCTGTCATCTCCACACCATCAGTTCGGTAACGAATTTTCTGTGGAACCTACAGTCGCCACTTGTTCACTGCCACTACCCTGAAAACGCCCACAATGTGATTGGTCAAACTGTCCCGACTGACTATTAAACCTCAGGCTACTGCATCTGCAGCATCCTATATCTCACTCGATCGTAAACCTTAGACTTATGGACGGCTTTTGGCATTTTTCATAGGTGTAAAACTAAACGACCGAAGGTAACCACAGATTATCCACCTTTTACTTGAATGACATATTTTCATCCACTACTCTCTGATTTTTTCAAAGTTGCTTATTGACATGAGTAGCAATAGTGCATTGGTCGAATCTGACCGCGAAAGCGATTCAGGTGTAACTTCATCTCAGTTGATCATCACCCTTTTCTGATTAGTAGCTCGGGGTGCAGCTAGGAGGTGTAAAAATGGCCCACGGAATGCTAGTTCGTCACCTGGATCATACTTATCTGGAAGATCAGGAGTATCTGGAAACCAGAAAAGTAATATCCCTCACAGAGCTCTAGACTCCTCCGTCCTCAGTCAGTGAAATACAGATCTCATTGGCACACCTAACCCAAACTGTGGATTTCGTCCAAAAACTGATAAGTGGAGGGATAGAAAACGGGAGGAGAGTTCTTGAATAAATCTTCTGGTAATGCATGTGACCTCACTGTAGCCACAAGGGACACAGACTTTGAGTGTAACCTCTATAATAAGTGGGTATGTTATCGATGTGATGAGCATGCAGCAGACCAGCATAATGTCTCCATGACGCATTACCCGTGTGCATGGTTATGCTACACCTGCCTACAATGTCGCATTGGACCACTTTTATCCAGGGACTTACTTATGGGGCCATGAAAAATATATAGGCAGTTGCCTAAGTACGGGTGTCCGACTAAATCACTGCAATGGAAGAGACTTTAAAAACCCAAGTGACTGTTGACGCTTAACGGAAAGTTCTAGTCATGACGAGTGCAAAATCGGTCTCACGATTGTTAACCACAAGGGAAACTACATCAGCCTTTAAGTTTGAAGCCACACTAACGGCACCTTTTGCTGAAAATCGTCAGAAATGCGTACAATTGGAACAGAATGTGCAAGTTGACTGTGAAAACCAACCCATATCTCAAGATAACAAATCTCAATTGTCTGTCAACTGTTTTATTTGACGTTCGTGCATGTAACGTTACCCACAGAGGCAAACTGTCCCGCCTATTCAAAGGCGGTCGTTCTCCTCCACTGAAGCCTCTGTCAATGTGGGTAACTATGGGATGGGCTAATGAGGTCTGAAGATGCTTCTCGCTATCACACACGCTAGTCATCAATCGATCATCCAGCCTAAGGGCTAGACCATATCAACCATTTTCAGCGGAGGAAACATCCGGAGTAGAGACTTACACGCAAAGAGGAACAACCGTAGCCATCAATACTGTGCCAAGACTGAAAACTGGTACAGAAGAAGAAATGTACCGATGACATTTAACATTGGTGATGGTCATCGGCAAGGATGGTGTTGGAAGAAGTAGCAGTGGTGGTTATATGTAGGTTGAAACGCTCCTTGCATCTCAACAATAAAGTCACGTAGATTGATGGATGTCGATTTCAAATGCATGGAGCTCCTAATGGGAGTGCAGAAGACATGGCACACAGTTGAGGATACCGCTGTTGTGAAAGGAAACCTAGAATATTGCGACGAAGGTAGACAACAGTTTTTCTTCTTGTTTGGGCAGTTACTACTTTACACAGATTCAGTGAGATCCTGACTGACGAACTCAACCTAACAGTGACTACAGAAAACACTGTGGATGAAAACCGGCTGGGACGATTTCGTTGAAGCTAGTAAGGGTGTAGCGACTCCCATGACCCTTTAATTCCAGCTAGCACTAAAACACTCCATTTTATGAGAAGCACCTTCAGTTATCCGTACAGTGATGTGGTGTGCCTTAAAGGTTGGATGGTGGAACTCAAAGCTTGCTCGGTAGGTTGTGGTTCTGACACAAACTTGGTTACAATCGGATATTAGGGACATCGGAGCGAACATATACTGCATGCTTCCGTTCAGGAGAGAGGGAACTCATGGAGGGAGTTGGGGTGGCACTGTTTGTGAGTGAACACTTCAAAGGTGAAGACTTGTGTACTAACGTATTATCACAGGGGGTGGTTTTCACGCCCTAACTCCCAACCTACGTCAGAATAGCGCAACTTCGAAGTGAATGTTCGGATGAAACCTACACAATGTCGTTAGAAGAACTGGACTGTGTGAAGAGATCGGCGATGGTGCTGGCTGGGGGTCAGGCAGGGAGCCATCATAACTGAGTTGTACTCTAAATGGCGACTAGCGGCTAGTAGGAAATATTCAGGTTCAAACTCTCCTCGGCAAAAGTGATCATGGCATGGTAGTGTTTCATCTGGTAATCAGTAAACAACCATCATGGGAAGGATTTCTCCTGCATCTTCGTTGTGGCAAGAGAAACTAGTTTGCGACGAACCAAGTTCCACTGACAGCCCCATAACCCAAGGAATGGAGTTCCTTATCGTCCGACTATCACTGAGTCCCACTGAAGTACAACATTAGGGAGGTGAGTTCCCTGAATATCCTCGCAATGGCAACAACACCCAAGAAGCTGATCTCATGGTTAAAACAAGCTACTGAGCGCTTACTGAAATGTAAGATCTCTGGACATAAGTCAAATCTTGATACATGTATCTCTTTGAAGGATACATGTGACCTCAAGGTACAGCTAATCGTTTCAGATAAACCTTGCTCGGAGGCTTGAGGTGGATCCCAAGAACCCATATGGATTCATGGCAGAGAGACAATCTACTTGTCAGAAAGTACCTTTATGAAAGGCCCTAGTACATCTTCGGATTGGAGATGACCCAAACATTTAGAGCCTCCCTTGATACACATTTGAACATCCCATCATCCAACCAAACAATCCAACGTCCTGAACAATCTTCAAAAAATTGGCGGTGTAGGAGAGTTATACATGTCACGAGTTACTCTGCTACAGTTCTCGCTAAACCGTTTAAACTCCACATAAGAAAATCCCTAGGATACGGCGGCATTCCTCGATGTGCTAGCACCCTGTGTTGCCCACTCTGCGACCAGCTTCATCAACACTCTTTAGATAAATACAAGCTCTCATATGAGTGGAAGCCCACGTTATCCTTCTTATCTTCAAAGAAAAGGAGACAGACAGAACCTAGAGTCATATCTACCCATAACATGGGACTGCATTGAACCACTTTTATCCAGGGACTCACTTATGGGGCCATGAAAAATCTGTAGGCAGTTGCCTAAGTACGGGTATCAGAACAAATCACTGTCGGGTCCTCCAGGCCTAATTTTATATGATTTTACTCGATTTCGATAAGACCTTCGACACGGTATCACACGCTATTCTTACCTGCAACATAATAAAGTTGGGTTTCAACGATCACATACTATTTTTAGTTAAGGACTATTTGGACGGCAGGGAGTTCTGCACAGCAATCATCAGGTTTCGCTCACCTCAGAGCTGCATCACCTGATGAATCATAGGCAGCAATTCAGGGTTCGCCGCCGTTCCTACCTTTTGTAGCTCACCTTCCATCGAGTCTTAGCTCCCCAACTTCACCTTACTCTGACGGCGTTAAGTAATGGAGGGCTGTGACATCCGACAAAATCCTGGTGACCTGCAAAATGACCTCAGAGTGGGTAATAACGGACAGGCTGTTAACATGGATAAGTCCCGAAACATGTCTTCCGTGCACCACCACTGGTGCAAAGTATCCTACTCTCTGTGGTACACATCTATCTCCAATCACCATGGAGAAAGACCTCTGATTAATGCTGACGAAGTAGATACTGCTTCAAGCGATACACGAGACGCTCCCAGAGACTTCGCGGTGCTACACTTCATGCATAGTAAACTAGGTGCTCTCATCCCAAACCTTCTTCTGTAGCTTTTCAATTCTGATGCACAAACCTATCTGCACCGCATTCTCAGGATAAACCATACACTTCCCCACAAACAACACTCAACCACTGAAAGGGTTTACCAGAGCTAGAGAAGGCGAGTGGGTAAATCTAATATATTGAAACCCATCAGAGACCTGAAACAGTTCTACAAGACCTAGAAAAGCACGAATAAAATCATTTAGCTTGAGCAAACCTGGAAAACATACATTGGATATTAGGGTGAATATTATAATATTTTTGGCTCTTACAAATCTAAAGGAGTAATTGGCGCCCCAAGAACTTGGCATGATAACTGTTAATTCAGCGAAGTAAACAATTAGGCCAACAGGTATGTATACACAAGAAACTTAAAAGGCGTGGCGTTGACATTGACGGTGTAGAGCATATCATGGGATCTTTAAACTGGACTGTAGTATCCCGACTATACAAATTAGCTCGGATGTTTCCAGGAGTAGTTGTCTTACAGTTTCATATGTGCATTCAAGCATAAAAAACAGTTTTGTGCCCTATAGTGAAAGACGAAAATACTCCTTTCGATACAGTCTCACGTTCACTGAGATGAAGACTGATGAATGTTCCGAAATTGTATGAGAACCACTGTATGCCTTAGCAGTTATGGCTTACGTTATCACAGGTACATTATATGAATCGACCAACCAGATGTCAAATGAACAAGTCTATTTCTGCAGGCAAATTAAAAATGCACCATTCCTGTACGGACGGACCTTTGTTATTTCCGGATGTCGTCATCTTGGTCTCTTCGGTGGGTCGAATAAAAACGAGAGTGAATGAAGTTCAGCCGATGATGTATGGCATCTGAAAAATGCATGATCAGAAAATTTCAAAATATATACAGGATTGCAGTTGTATTCTCTAACCAGCGCTTATATCTGGTAGGTCTGAGGATTCAAATACATCCTTTCCCATGCAAAATATTGTGTTTATCTTCGCCTTAAGTACGCTCGACACATTTGCCTTCAGTATCACGTCACATCAATTGTAGTGTGTCATTGTAGGACTCATTCAGACTTCATCAAGTGACGTACACTTGTTGCGATCACATCTGTGAATTGTGTATCCAGCTTAAGGTGCTTAGGGATTACCTCAAACACAAAACGATATTCAATGCACCTACTGTTTGAACGACAGAGTTCAGTCTGACTAATATGATAATCAGAACTCATGGACATCCCACCGAATGGTGAAGAGTTCGTTAACCAAGAAGAAATCAAATCCTGTGTTAGTGTAACAGTGCAGCAAACATTTATTGAGGAATCAAACGCCTCCATTTCCTCTGAAGCTTGTGGCGACTATATAACTGGAAGCCCAGTCGCCAACAACATTAAAAAGGCTTACTATCATTCCAATGTTCTATCATCACTGAACCGGCATAATATTGGAACCAAGATAAAACTGATGGATCAGTGTCACATGAAGTTATTGCGACTCACTCACTTGATATTTCACCTCAGATTAAATTCATACAGTGACAACATCTCATAATGAAACGAGTTAGTCTTACGGATAATTCCAAGCTGTCGTCTTAGTCGGAAAATAATCATTCCTTTTCCTAAGACTACCAGTGAGATCTAAAATGTTGGTCAACATACTATCTATCAAGGCTAGTTCAAAACTAAGCTGTCTAGCATATTATGGAAATTCACTCCAGCAGACAAGTCTCTCCGTCATGTATCCCATACCACATCTGAACTAGTTCAAGCGACACAAGTAGTGGTGATAGGTCAAACATCACTCAATCCATTGATGATCACGGCCACATTGCATTGCAATCAATGCAAGATACGCATGCATAATATCTAATGCAATACTTACCTTAACTACATAGTCCTTCGCCTCAAACACATATTTCCTCTTCCTGAGGACAAACTCGATAGGAGGCAGCTTTTCCAGAGCATCACAATTAAGCAGGTAGTCTCCATCATGACTGAGTGTTGCGCCAAGTAGGGAATTGATTCTGTCAGCCACTTTCTGAGAACCCAGGAGCAAAGATGTTCCGGTATCTATGACAGCCACACATGTCTCATTGCAAAATTCCATGCCATTAATTTTCATACTAAATATGTGAAAAACATTTGAAACCAGTAACTGAAATTCGTTTCACTTGTAGTCACAGTTATTCATCACAATGTGCATTGATATGCATTTGATAAGAAACTGTGTGGTGTGGTATTTTTTTTAAAATGCGCTCTTCTCTTCATATATTACAACACGTGAAATCACTTTGGTCTAAGGTATTCTGGGTTGTTATATGAGGTGTGTGTATCCAGTGTGTATGTTTACATTTAAGATGCTGGTTTTTGTGTTAAGATCTATGTTTATATTTGTGAAGTTCAGTATTTTTCGGTTGTGGAATTATTACAAATTTTAGGGTTAATCGCAGGTTAATCACCATTCGTCCAAGCAATTCATTTATAAGCTTTTTGCCAACCACTTTTAGTATTTGGAAATTATTATTATTGTCATCTTTATGCCGGGTGGAAACTTCCGTTTATTTGTTCAGCATTGCCAGTAGAGTAAAAGAATTCATGTCATGTGGTGAAAAGATTGACGTATGCGTGTCAATCATAGCACCCGAATACCACACACGTGAATAATTCAGTCTTATATAAGAGAGGATCGAATGCAGGAACTAGCCATTATAAAGCAGTCATTTGGCAATATGAGTTACGTGTAACACACTTCAGATCTCTAGATACCTTTCCGTTGCAAAGACGTCACTTTGAATACATTCTATCTATGACTACAAGTATTATACTCTCCGCTTAGTTTAAGTAAACTTTGGTAGTAAAGGCAAGATGATCTGCTCTGCGCTTGCTCTGTAAATCAAAATACATACAGGAGGGTATTAATCACCTACCTTTCATCACCACAGCCCATTGATTTTTATAAATAACAGATAGGTTTTCAAAATCTCCTACGATATATTCAGGATTAACACCACCCAGAACCAACTCTCCACCAACAGGAGCGCCATTTCGTCTATGAAACAGAAATTAGCAGTATTATGTTCTATTGTAATCAATCAAATATGATAAGATAGTGTTCCTTCTGTTTCCAGGGGTACAAATGATACTTTGAAAGGTTAAGTTGTAGCGTAATTTCACTCGTAGCATTAGAATATTTCAAGGGTGTGAAGAAATCAAGCAAATCCTACTCAATTCTGTTTCGAAAACGCTGGAATTATACGTCGGTGTTTTATTCCACTGAAATAGTTGAAACACGAACCTATGAAGTCTGAAATTGTGAAATTCACTGGAGTGAATGGCATCATAAAGACTAGACTTTCTAGTTTAGAGTTTACAGACCTCCACGAATTTCGAAGCAACATTACTCAGGTTGACCAATCTCCACTTATCCTTTCCATTCTTCTCACGCAATACTGCTGGTGCAGATAAAAGAAAATGAATGGAAATTATATCTACCTCGCCACTCAAGTAACAGATCCTACTGTCGTACGTGACTGCTGGGTTCGTTGTCGATGTCATGTAACTGTATATATACCTTTATTCATATATTATGTGTACCGGTGTTATTTTCTTAGTAAGTGATTTTACCTCTTTGTATCGAAGATAGATCAGAATAATTTACAACAACTTCCCGAGTTCCCTATTTGTTGTCTCTATTTTCTTTTTTACTGTCGCACGCATTGTTAGCATCTGTTGCTCATGATCTTTCGAGGTAGAAAACGTGTACTGTCCAGGTCAAGCTTACTTGTATCGGCTAATGCAGCTACGCTCATGTTATAATTTGCCAGGAGTATTTCGCTGTGGTGCACAAAGACTCGCAAAACATATCCATCACGAACATACTGTTCGGATGAGAGACAGAATGTTGTTGCGATGAACTATAATGCTTCAACTAGTCATATGGATTTGCTGGATGGGGAAAAATGTGAAGTATGCAGAAGACATAACGAAATAACAGTAGTGTTCTCATATGCAAAAACGATAAATATCGAAGTCCGAGAATTTACATATAACTATAAATTACTATAATTATTAACTATAATTTAGATATAACTATAACTATACAACTTCGAGATTGAAACCCAAATGGAGAAACTGCTTTGCTGAAATATGAGTTCAGTGACTCCGAAAGTATGTTCAGTTTATATAAATAAATACACCGTGAGTTTTTGAAATGTTACGAATTAAAATAGTCAGGAAGTGTTTGAATCATAATTTGATCTTCTGACAATAAGCAAGTCACTAAGATATTATTTAATTTGAGTAATAATGGTTAGTTGATAAGTAATATCATTGTGTGTCAATATATTCAATACAAATACACTTATGACAAGTTGATTCTGTTCAAAATGCACAGAAATATTTTCATGTGTATAAGTAAAGTTACTAAGATGCTAACTGAAAAGAATGACCATATTTTTAGTGTAGCAATCTTGAACAACTCTTCTAGTTTTCATTGAATGGATAGAACAGCTAACGTTTTCTTACTTTCCAAATTTTAAACTCCGGTAAAATTGCTTGCACTAAGGGTTGTCACGCAGTAGAAAAGCTGACTTGGTACACTTATTTCTGCATTAATATGACGTCTTAATTGTGGACAAAAGAATTAAATGTTATCAGTAGAACCAAGAGTATCAACATATGAACAGTTTCATTCCATCATTCCAATTTCGAAATGTATATAAACATGTTCCATATGCGTAGTTTATTATGTTTATTTGTTCCTTGGGTTCCTAGTGGAACATAGGGCTTCAGTAGCACGTCTCCAGTGTACTCTCTTCTTTACAGTCTTTTCAACCTGACCCACGACTACCCACAAGCTCTCATTTCTTCCTCACATCATCTCCTCCGTGTCACCCTCAGCTCGGACACCCAAATCGTCGTTTCCAATTCGAATTCCACTCGAGGGCATGGCATGGCCTGGCCTGTCACGTGATGTCCCCAATCAACCTTCTCAGTGTATGCCCAATCCAGTCCATCTCCACTTTCTGTTTCTGCATATGTGTTGGACGATGGATTCTTGGTTGGTCCGTTGTCAATCAGCCAGAGTTCCTTGTTGCTTATTCTTATTATTCTGGCCATCTATCTGATCTTCAGTATTGAGTGAGAGTAGGCGTAGATGGCAGCTGTTGATGAATGTCTGTAGTTTGTTGGAAGTGTTTTTCGTGACACGCCAAGTCTGTGAATCATAGAGGAGCACTGACTTGATATTGGTATTGAAAATCTGGATGCTGTTCACGCCTTATGCTGAGTACAGTGGAGTGCACCAGATCTCCACACTGCTTTCAGGTCAATGAATGAAGGCCTGTCTTGCTTTTCCGATCCTGGTTTCGACATCCTCATCTGTGCCGCCTGTAGTTGAAACGATGCTGCCTAGGTAGTTGGGTATGTGAAAGAGACCACATCCTCTAGATTTCTCCCGTAGATAGTGATTGGTGTTTGTTGTTGTTGGCTGGATGTCTACATCACCTGTCTTCTCTACGTTCATCTGAAAGAAGTCCAATCTTCCTTCGCTGACTCGCCTCTTCTTCCAATTTGTTATTTTTCGCCTGTACATCTTCGAGTTTGTGTGACAATGCATTAGACATAAGTCATCATCAGCGGTGAAATCCAAATCTTCCCAGCTCTTCACATCGGTCAAACAGCCAGCATATGCCACTCTTCTCACAAGTGTCCTCATAGTTTTCTGTTGCATGATCCACTCCACTCCACTCCACTCCAGTCAAACACAATCAGGAAGATCATGGGTGATAGTAGGTAACCTCGTCTTACTCGTTCCTGTCTTCACTTCAATGGCGTTACCCAGCTTTCCATTGTGCATCACTTGGCATGTAGTATCATATAGCATATAGCTGTTGAATGAGGTTGACAAAGGATTGTGGCACTGAAGCCGTAGTGTTGAAGCAGCTGCAAAAGTAACTTCTCGGTCAGTGTTGTCGAAGGCCTTTTCAAAGTTGATGATGTTGAGGTTGAGGTTGAGTTGAGGTGAGTTGACTGTCATTCAGTGCTCTGTTCTATGATGATGCGTAGCGTAGCGTTGCAATTTGATTCGCACATGACTTGTTCTTCCTGAAACCAGTCAGCCAGTCAGCCAACTGTTCCGGTCATAATCCAGTGTAATCCGGAGCACCGTTCAGTCTCTTCATAATGATGCGGCATGATATTTTGCTTGCTCTGGGTGTACAGGGACAGGAGCACGATTCCTCACCAGTTCCCACAAACACTTAGGTCTCTTTTCTTTTTGAGTTTTCACATGCTTATAATGATGGAAATAGATGGAGTATTGTGATGAAGGGATGTGACATGTTAACCAACAGATACCTGATACATAGGTCAAAAGTGTCCTTTGAGTTGATTTGGCTGAGGATAATTTTGTGTTTTTTCATCAATACAACCAATGAAAAAGTTGTATTACACAATCACTCTAACATAGAGCATTTGGGCATTGTATTAGCACGCTTATAGCTTTCATTAATCAGATGGAGTTGGAACTGCTGTCAAAAAATGAAAGCCAATATCCCAGTTTGTTGACTTGTGATGCATTGATTAGACACCTGGTTGACAAAATATCAGCGTTCTAACTTATACGGAAATATTGTGAAGGCATTTGTATTTCGTTATGTGAGGAACATACTCATTGAATTCGTTCAGTTTTTTCCAGACAGTAGAGTGAGCAAAAATTATTAACAACACAGAAACGTGAAATAAACTTAAAAACGACGAGGCGAATAAACAAGACCATAGTGAACCTATAACGAATGTACAGGAGTTACATAGCTACGCTATTCAACGCCCTGTGAACCAGCCATTGAACCCCCAAGTGGATATATGTGTCCCAACCATATCAGTCGACGAAGGTTTCACAACCTCATCAACCAACTTAACACTTCCCCCTAAAACTCTACTCCTGACTTCTGTGTAAGTCACGTGGTGACACCACGGAATACGGTCTATACTACGGAGGCAACGGTGGTCAAACACCTGAAATCAGCCTTCCCACGTCTCCCACCTTCATTGGCTATGGTTCACAGCCATACAGTAGAACAGTACACGCGACCGTTAATAGACAACCGGATATCTCGGCAGCGTCACAGGTGGCGTAAGTTGGCGAAAGTCGATCAAGTCTTTTGTATTTGTGCAGAGATTTCATCGGCCACTGAGCCACTAGAGAGGGGCTGATCCTACTTCCCAGGTAAGTGAAGTGGTCAACACACTCAACCACTTCACTCTCTATTGTTAGACGAGAGACCGTTGAAGACCAATCCTGGAGCAACAATTTACATTTGGGTGGTGAGAAATGTATCCCAAACATTCTTAAATTCCCACTCAAAGCATTCAGAAGACCCTGCATCTTGTCAGCGTCTTCACATAACAGAACTATGTCGTCTGCATATTTTATGTCTAAAGAAAATTCTCCACTGATTAGGTCAACCTCTGTGTAATCAGGTGACGAGAGGGAAACCTCCACAAGAATATCTATGATAAAATTGAATAAGAATGGAGAGAGTGGGCACTTTTGACAGACACCACTCGATGAGCACAGCTCCCCGGACATCTCACCATAAACTCTAACATGCCTACAGGTGTCGGAGTAGAGAGCTTTCAATAAGGTGATATACTCTACTAGGCACGCCTTTCAGTGAGAGACATTACCATAAGATTTCGCGATCAAGAGAGTCGAATGCCGTCGCCTTCAGGTCGAGAAATACAGCTATTGTCAGGCGTCTGTAAGCGTGCCTATGTTCCAGGACCTGGCGCAGTGAGAATACTTGGTCGATACATCCGCGGCCAGGTCTAAAGCCGACTTGGTGTTCTCCGGCTTGTTGTTCCCGACCTCCACTCAGACGTTGAAGAATTATAGAACCTTGAATCTTAGACACTACGTTCGACAGTCTCAAATAATTTGTTACTAATATTCCTGAGATCCAAAACTATGGAATCTGATTGATTTCAGTATGAATATATCTTTCTTACTGGTGGATAAGCAACGTGGAACTTAAGTAAGAATTAGAAATTAAAAAAAGACAAATCTCATGAGATGCAGGTACAAAACTGTGGAAACATGCTAACTTTCACTAGAGTTTGAAAAAACTTCACAACAGAAAAAAGTAATCAGACTGTCAGTCTTAAGGTTTCCTTTTCTTATTAAACTTAAATTTACTCAAACGACATATGAATAAATGATAGAAATTTATGTTGCACTGTAGTCATTAGGATATGAAATATGTCTAATAATCCACCTTACGTATTTTCATTCAACAGTTTGCATAACACACAGATGATAAGAAACAGGTATCACACAAATAGGCGCCTATGTTCAGTGATTTCCCATATTCACCAACCGGTTGCATATAACTTTGATGGAATCTTTATCAAACAAAACATTAAAATATTACCTTGTTTAGTCCAGCAAGATTACTTGAATTGCTTTGACCCACCAGAAACTATTAAATAGAGCAATTTGAAATCCTAATATGCTAAAATTATTTGTTATACAGAAAGAAAACAATTTCCAGTTAAATGATGTCATTTCAAACACCTATTTACTCAAATATAATTACTACTCTGTTATTATTTGAACTACTTTCCCTCTGCCATTATTTGATTGGATTTAAGCCAGAATCATTAGGTTGAATTGTGTGTGATACCAAAATGAGATTTTGAGCTGATTGTGTTGGATTATAATTCAATATCGTTTTATTAGAATCTGTGAATTTAGTGTTGTATACATTCATTTAATTCTCTAAGTATAATAGTTAATTTGAGCAGTATTTTAGTTTCTTTCTTTGGTTTGTCATATGAATCACTTAGTAGATAACACTAGTTCATTCCACAACAGTGCACAAGTTTTACTCTGATACTGTTTTGTTATGTCATAAATATGATAAACAGACTGAAATGGAATCCATTCTCCAAGACCTTAGAGATAAGATTACAAAATCTGATTTTAGGACAAAAGGACAGCCTCACTTCTAATGCAAACTCACCGACTTAAGTAGAACGAAAACACTGGATCCATCTCAGCTGTTGTTGCAATTATATTTGGAAAAAAAGGAATATTTCCATATCTTGACACACTTCTACATGACATCCCGATTATTCCGTCGTATTTTTGGCTGATGAAATCAGTGTTGAATATGCTTGTTACTTCACCAAATGCTTGGTTTCTAATAACTAGGGAGTTTATCTATATCAAAAGCACTGATTTGAAATATTATAAGATAATACCTGGATTGTATCCATGCTCCAAAATCCCGAGAAGCTACCCATCAAATAGTTCACTTCAAATCTGGTACCATTCGGTTGATACGTGGATGATTTTGAGTTGTCATAAAATCGAAAAAACCAACATGGAACATCAAGAAACCAACATTTCCTTGAAGGGAACCATGCATCAGTTGAGCCCGTATCGAATTGGACAGTAAACTTTTCAGGTGGAGTCCCAACAAACACCTCACCGTAGTACTGAAACTGAAGAGTGACGTTTTTATGAGCATTGATATTAGACGCTTCGTATCTCGTAAACCGATATTATTTGCATATTTTTACATGTTAAATGTCACAGCAACTGTTTTCCCAGAGAAAGCGTCAATGTAAACCATGTTGCAGTTCTGTAGTCTGATAACAGCCATTTACTATTTCATCAATCTCTAGTCTGATTTTACCTGATCATTGCAATATATTTCGACATGCAGAAAAATACCAAATGGAAACAATTTAAATACTGTTTGCACTGCTACTACAAGCTGGGAATTTCGACCAACAACAATAGTTTAAAACTCCCTACTGTCGAGTAATGTACTTACAGGCTTCGATAGATATATCGATAAGATGAACAAACAGTTTATCTCAAGAAAACACCTGTTAATAGTATCTAACCCTAAAATGAATTTTCTGTTTAATCGTTTGTTACATATAACAGTCAAAATGAAATGAATGTTCAAAGCTTAACTAACGATGTTATACCTACATTTTCAAAATTGTCCAAATACTCGGACGTCGGTGTGTATTCGTCTGTCCAAACATTCATCCATTTTCTATGTAGCCATTTGTATAATGCGTTGTAGTGACCCAGCATCGACTTAACTCTGGTCGTCGGATAGAGTGGAATTTTGATGACCTCAGCATTTAAATGATGTAGAAAGATTAGAAGTATCATTGAACGCATTATACTAACTCTCATACTGGCAGTCAGTAATTCTGACAACTTTATTTTCAATTTGTTTTCAAACTGTTGCAAACTGTTGTATTTGTACCCACTTAATGAATCTTCGGTAGAGAAATAAAAGTGTTGATTGGCTACAATCGAAACTCTGTTTTTTGTAAAGTTTCTATTTAGTATTGCCTAAAACATGTGATTCATAGGGTGGCTTTCATGAATGAAGAGAATCTGTATTCTGTGTTACATTATTCATTAATGTGAGCCTTCAGTTAAAGGAGGCATAAACACATTTCCGATTCCTAGAAATTCATTGGATAACATTTCCTGTGGTTTATTTAACATGGAAAGTTACAGTGAGCAGTTTTAGGTCCCTCAACTCTTGTGTAACGGGTATCAGTTATTATTATAGGACCGAACGCACGTCCTAGATTCTACTGATAACCACGAATTAAATTACAACCATAATACAACTTCTTGGCGGAAAACACAGAGGAAACAAAACTTGAACATAATAATACTACTATGAGAAATAAGTCTCGACAGTCTGTGAGGAGCACAAAACAGTGCGTGCTAAATCGATCATACAAGAAGTAAAGGCAAGAATAGGATATCCTGTCTTCCTAGTATTTTTCTTAAAAATACGAAGCTTTCTTGGTCTAATAAACTTTAAATGTCATTTTAAACCTTGTATCGCAAGGTTAGCTCAACCTGCAAGGCATTTTTTTGAAGAGGGAGCTGAAGTATTTCACGTGACCTAGACTGTTGTTGATGTGTTTGACAAAGTGTAGCATGATGTCTGTTCGAAAGCCCTAACTGATAACTCTTTATGTCACTGAAGTCTATTTCACAGGTCAAAGTTGACTCACAGTGTGTCAAATGCAATAAATATGAAATACTAAATTCCCTGTCCTGCATTTTAATGAAAGCTTCATAAAGTGATTATACTGACCTCGTTAATATGGCGAATTCGCATGCTTGTAAGGAGTTGGAAGATCATCAGAGTACTTCATTTCGCACTCACAGTGTTACGCTTTACAAACATGCAGCAGTCACCTATGATACAAGTAATGATAGACCTTATTTCTCTACATCACATGACAGATCTAAAGTGAAAAGACACTGCTTCACCTGCCAGCAGATATATGTTATTTTATAGTAAATCTGACTGCATGCATGAAGTTGTCGATGCATTACTTCCACCCAGAGGCATTGCTAGCATTCTAAAATGTGTAGACCAGTTGAGAAGGTGGCAGACGACAACACCCTCACCAGAATATCTGGTAAATATGATCTGGAATTGGATTATAAAAGTTGGCTTGCGAAAAGTATGACTAGCGTGGACAGAAATGTACAGCTGAAAGTTCTTTCTTTTCAGTAAGTGGAATATTCCGATGGTGGCATAAGGCAAGAATTTGAGCAAATATATATTTTCGTAAGTCTCATCAAACTGTACTTTTAAATGCCATTTTTCAAGCCTAGAAACAAAAATGTAGAGTGGGTGTATGAACTCTTGATAGTTGTTTGTAATTTAAGGTAATTATGAGATTAAAATTGTGTGACAGTTTATTTCGCAAGCTCAGATGGGAGACAACCCTTTTCGTCTATAGCTGAACATATAGATCGGGTCACAAAATCAATGTTCAAATAGCTTTCAGAGTTTTGTATAGAGGTGGTCAGAGACGTCCACTGAGATTTCGGGAAGCGATAAGCATGCGCAAGTTAAAACCGTCTTTGTGTGTACAAAGCAGTTTGTTTGTACACTGCACCTACTGTGATAAAATGCTTTTTCTTACCATGATTAGGATCATTTATGTCACTCTACCATTTTGTTCTCATCTTAATTTTAATCTCTCATTATCTCAACTGTTCCATATGTTTTCCAGTTCTTCGGTTTTATATAAATCGACTTGACAAGTAAATGTGTAATCAGGTTGTTCGAAGTGTACTGCGCAAATATCGCCTTATTGAAAAGAACTTCATCTTTTATTTACACTATTCAAATTCATAAAAGAACTAACTGTTTCAAACTATTTCACAGGATTTCGGACAATTAATGTATAAATTATTAGCATAAAAATCGTACTAATAAAAACCAAAGTGAAAAGAATAAACGTTGAATCCGATCGACAGGAACGAGTTAACTGTGTCATTGTTTATCTGAATTGCGTAAATTCCATCTGTACAAGTAGCCACGGAAGAAAAGTGGAGAGTTCGATTTTTTTGTCTAAAGAGTTCAGGTTCTATGATTTTCATTGCAATAGCTTTATTAGTTTAGATCCGTGTTATGATACTTGTAATTTCCCGTTGTTATACAGGGCAGAATTGCTCGACCACTGTTGAGATATGGGCTTCTATGCCTCGATGCTGCTGGATATTCATGATGTTATAATGATGTGAGTGACTAGCAGAAGAACCCAGAACTCGCGTTTAGTCCTACTTAGGACTCTCCAGCTGTATGTGCCTACACCACAGTGAGTGATGCTGTCTCCACTGGAACTCGAACCTCTTACCCGTATCTCCGAACGCCGGAGCACTATCTACTAGGCCACTAGGGTAGGATAGCAATTCAACCGTGTACAGCAACAGTAAGTTACAAGTATCATAACAACAATAAATAGTAATATCATAACTACGAGTGATAGCTTTTTCACAAGAGGTGGCTATCGTGCCCCAGTGGCTTAGTGGATAACGCTCTGGCGTTTAAAGCTGTTGTTAGTGGGTTAGATTCTGACTGAGAACAGCATCACTAACTGTTGTGCAGGTACATACACCTGGCGAGTCGTAAATCAGACACGACAAGTCCTGGATTCAACTACTAGTCACCAAGACCAACATAAGGCGAATTCTCGCTGCTTATGGCATTTGAACTGGTATCTTGTGGGTTACTGAGAAAGTGGACTTAATGTCAACATTATGACCAGCGTCAATTAGATGGGACTAGACAGAACATGTGATCTTCTTTATCTCTCGTTTCCCTAGCCATACTGGTGGTTGATCTTTTGTGCTTTGTGAAAGGATCCTCACAGTTTGTCCTAAAGAGTTGACTACATAGGAGTAGTTGAATTTCAGCTACTAACAGAAGTAATTTGAGTTGGAAACAAAAGAACTACTACTTGTTATCCTTTTTGTGACGGTGTATTTGAAACATTTCATAGACTTTTAAGGACAATGCTGATGACAACAAAGAATAGTAAAGAGTAGAGTAAAAAACAAAACAGTTTACCTGGGAGTATGTTTGAATACCAAACAGCGTTACTTAACGGGACAGCGATACACCTGTGTTCGAAATCACTTGAACGGACATCATGACTGCGTGCAGCATGTGTGACACTTTATGGGTAAACTATGAGATCATCCCATCTCACAACACTACAGTCAGGTATGTGTACCTCAACTATTTGCTAATTTATTATATTCCTATCCAAAACAATGGGGCTTGAAGACTACTGGAACCACCTTATGAGAGGTTTTTCAGAGTAATGGGCAGAAAGGAGTTAATCACTGTTGAACGCAGTGGTCACAACACAAATCTAAATTATTGACAGTACTTGTAAAATAAATCTGAATCCATTGTTTAACTTCACACCAGCTAACTAAGGTGTCAGCCTCACATTATCATTAACGCGAACTAGAATGCATGTTCAGTATGTATGTTAGAGTGACTGACATACAAAGAAGTGGAGGCAACTACCTTCTGTTAACATATGAAATGCTATTCGAGCATTGGATTAGGCTTGGAAACATCACAGAACAAGACAAAGAAGACAACAGGATCATAGTCTATGGGAAAGTAAGTAGGTAGAGTGTGTAACTTAACTAAGCAACTATTTATTCATCCGATCAACATGTTTGCGTAGGGACCTGGCTCATACTGAGTAGCGTACTATGTTGCATGCCGTATGGTTTCTCAGAATAATAAGGAGTTGTCAGCGGTATTCCTGATCATATAGAAGAGAGATTCAGTATTTACAACTTCTGTTGTGTTAGATAACCTCACCTAGTTGACTAGTTTACTAGCCGGTCCTAAGCCCGGATAAAGAGGGAAGGTTGGGCATAGGGCTAGCAACCCCACCGCTTGAAACCAATCGAATCGCTAAAGAGATTTCAAAGCACAGAAAAAATAAAAAAATATTCCTCTCTGGAATCAGAGAGACTAAATGACGCCTGCTGGTGAAAGCCTTCGGGAAGCCAAATGGACGGTACGCCTTCTCTTCTCTCGATGAAAGTAAAAGTAATCTGCATATGGAATGGAAGTGGACTCTCCAAACTGTCAACTGGAGAGTCAATGATCTACTCCGATATTGTCACCTACATGGCAACCACGTGCACACAGAGTTTTTCAGTGACTATCATGATGTCTCCAAGAGCATCGAAGGCTCTCTCCCATGCAATAGGAACCAATCTCCTCCTGCAGGATCAGGATCATGACAGCAAGATGAATTCATCTCCAAAGGTAGGAAAGTTACTATCATACAATGCCAATGCTATGCTACGCATCCAAAAGTAATGCATATCAAGAGAAGAAGGAGGAATAGAACTCATCATGGGTAGAGACGCGATCAGTGAAATGATGAGTGGTAATGGAGAACTGTTTGCAGATTTCTGTGCATTCAACGACTTGGTGATTGGAGGCGAGGCAATGTGTACAAACAAAAGGATATTGACAAAGTGAGCGACATGGATTTCATCAGACACCTGACACACAAGAATCAGATCGACTTCATCTCAATGTGAAGAAAGTGGAGATGGAGACGCAGCCTACTGGACACAAGATGAAGAAGGGGAGCAGATGCAGGTAGGTTCACACCACTCACTGTCTAGTGCAAGGAACCTAACTTCAAAATCAAGTTGAAAGCCTCGAAAGAAGC